TGAATCTTCTCCTGCTGCTGGTTTTCTGTTCAGACCAGTTAAATCAGATCTCGGCCTACATTCCTGCTGGAGGCTCAGACCTCCTGCTTTGCTGGAAGGAAACTCAGGCAGCTCAGCTCAGCAGACTGCAGCAGAAATCAGCTAACAGATGATTCATGCAGCTGATCTTCTGTTTAGAACCTGGAGAACATTCAGCCTGTAGACCAGCCTGCAGCAGCTGGTCCAGATTCAGAACCAAAGGGAGACCAAACTCACCATTCTGCTGCAGCCAAAGGTTCAAACTCCACAGCGGCCTGCTGAGCATGCTCACTCCACACTTAACCCTCCAACTGCTTTTTTCTTTCCTCCTAAAACTTTATTTAAAACAGCAGAGCAGCTTCACAGAACAGGAAACATTAAGCACTGCGAAATATTAACCAGATTATGGATTATTATGAAACATGTGCAGAAAGTTGACAGATTTAAGTTTATTATAAAGTCACTTCAGAGGGAAGAAGAAATGTTCTTTTAATTAGAGTTTGATAAATGTTGGTAATCATCTTTCATCTGAATATTGATGTTGGAAAATAATATAAAAAGTTACATATTTTCAGGAGGAAAATTCATAAGAATTTTTCTTTTCTCAAAACATTAAATCTGAAACGGCTTTTATATTCAGATTTATTTTTTATTTTAATTTTCGCCGCTGAAAAGATTTATTCCTGGTCTTTTACTGCCCCCTGCTGGAGTTTAGATGCAATTCAGTCGACTTAAACTAAAAATGAAAAAAAAAAGTGATGAATTTAGGCCAAATAACTGGAATGCTGCTCCACTGTTGCAAAACCTGCTTTACAGATTTATCAGATTAATGTGTCTCATATAGTTTTATAAATATTTAGTGTAAAATATGAAAAACAAAAATTTATTAGGATTCTATTTATGGGTTTGGATGGAATCAGAGATACAAAAAAAAAAAACTGCAAATTTTCAAATCCTGGTTTACAGATTTCAGTGAAAGATTGATTTTTATCTTATTCATTTATTTTGTAAAAATAGAATCTGAAGAAAAAAAGCTAAACTTTGAAACATCATATATGAAAAAAGTCTGAAAGATTATGATAATAATATTTGAAAAAGTATTTTGAAAAATAAAATCTAAAAAAAAAAGGTAATTATAAAAATATATATATTACACATGCAGGCAAATCACTCAAAAAGATTTTAATTGATACAGTTTTTTTTTAAATCTTTTTTTTATTTCCTTTTTTGAATCATGTATTTGATTTAAATGAATAGGAACAAAATGTCTACATTAGAAAAAGGACAGATGTTTCTTCTCTGCAGCATTGTAAAAAAAAATCAAACACTGAAGAATTGAAAGAATAAAAACATTTTTATCTGAAAAAAAAAAAACGCTAATGTCAGCAATGATGAATAAAATAGAAATATCATCCCTTGTTTTTCATCTGTGTGGATATTCAGGTGGACCAGCAATAAAGTCAAAAGCAACAAGGAAGCAAAGAGTCTCACGAAGGGAAAAAACAACCAAACTAAAATAAGACAAAAAGACAAAGGGCTAAAATTCATAAAGATGGATCAATTAAAACATCAATTATATTAGAAAATAATAAAAAAAAAACATCCATAAATAGATCAAAGTGCTCGAATGATAAAACTGTTCTGGAAACTCAGTTAACAAAGAAAAATAATGTTATACTGCAGAAATGAAACAGCTGAAAATGAAGTAAAAACCTGAATCAAATGAAATGATTTGGATCCTAATCCTTCACCAGTTGGTCTGTTCAGGCCTCCAGCAGGAAAACATCTGCCGCTATGTTTGACCCAGACTTTCATCTGCTAATCAGTTCATCAATAACATCGAATGCAGTTTCAGAGACAGAACTTAGTGCCTAAAAGACAAAACTCAGGGCAAAGTGTCCCCAGCAGTGTTAAACTCATTTTAAATCCCATCAGCTTCATCAAGTCTTTGAAATAATTAACAAATAAAACTTATCAGAATTAAAGGATTAAAACTACAAGCTCTGCCATCAGAACGCTGATAATATTAAGTGTGTCTCA